TGGTTATATGAGGGTCAAAACTTAAATATTGACAATGTATTATGACGCTGTTGGCCATTTTAGATTAAGTAAATAGAAAACTTTTAAGAACCTGAAGTCTCTACTCAAACCTGTTAGTATAAAGTGAATTTTGTTTTCTAATGTTGTTTAAAGCCAGCTAGTTTGCTCAGTCGCTCAGAAAACTTCAGTTTCCCTTGTAAATTACAGGGCACGACTCACATATAAGTCTCTTTATCCGTTTCTGTGTTTCCGACCAATGATTGATCAGTTCTTCTGGCAATATCAAATACCTCAGGTTTTAATTGGCGAGAAATCTTTTTCAGTCTTTCAGTGAACAGGAGGTTCATTTCTGCAGCTCTAACATTGCTGAACTGAAATAAAAGTAATAGGCTTAGCCTAATAGGAATGAAATCCTGTATTGATGCTTAACTCTGAGGTTGAGTAGACCTCCCCACCTACACTTTACCACTTAAGGGTTGTTGATTTTTAAATAAACATGGTACAGAGCTCTGCCATTTTAAAGTGAGTGGACACTGGCTGTTTTTCCCCACCGTATGTCTATACTAGCGACACAAATGTCTGCGTTCTGCAGTATAAGACATTGGGCCCTGCTCAAAGAGAAGGGTTTGGGATTGCTGATTTTCAGCAGTGTTGTATTATGCAGAGACTGCCGGTCTGAATGGGCAAGTCAGGGACAGGGACAGGGCCTCTGAGGATGCTAAAGCTTCGCTGGTTCTGTTTCGCCCGTTTGTCTCTGGACACCTGCAAGGTCAGATGCAGGGGTCAGTTCCTGCTTCACAAATCGATCCATCTGCAAGGCGTGGTGAAGGTCTAACTTTTCAGAATAAATCGTGTCTTGCACTTGCAAAGTCTTGATTTGACTATTTAGCAGATTCTTTCAAGCATATTCACAAGCATCTGAAAGAAACTTTTCCTTTCAACACAGCACGGCCCTTCATCTGACAGCAGCCTCATGAGATGTTCACTAGGAGAGAGGCATTTTAAATGTGAAGAGAATCCTGCATCCAACACCTACTCAGAGGGATGTGTTTATCCATCTGATACATTGTTCTTAGTTATTGTGTGTGCTAGGATAAAAACACACACCTCCACCAAGACAAGGTTTTAAATGCCTTTTGTGTGTAGGTCTGTTCCTAGTTTTGTATTTGCTCTAGTCAGTCTGTGAGCTGGGAATCAGTAAATAGCTGTGGTTGCAGAGTTTTAATTCTGTGTGACCCTAACCTGTTTAAAGCTAGCTGTGCATTAGTCAGCAGTAAGTGTATTTTCATAAGCTGCAAATGTTCAGCAAGGCATCAAGTCACATTTATTAGGAGCACTAGGGTTCTAGTTTCCTGTTAAAAATCCATACCTTAAAATTACAAATGCATGTTTTATTTGAAAGGGTAATTTAGTTTTCTACCCCAAGTGTTGTTTTTTTTTTCCTTCATTTTATTCAAAATACATCTATATATATGTATACATCTGAAATAGCTGGCAGTGTAAACAGTCTGTAAAGGAGAAAATAATTCACCCAGAATACTTGACACACTTTGTATGAAGTGTATAATCTAGCAGTTTACATCAGTCGCCATATCCTACGTTACCATTTTATGTTTTAGAGATGAATCGGAACTAAAACAGCTTTAATTTGTTCTGAAAAATCAGGGGTTTTTACTTTTTTGTGGTGTTGTGCTGTGACAACAGTTTTCCTGAGAATATGATTAATGTTCAGATTTGTATGACTGTGGTGCTCTTCATGTTACAGAGGAGGAAGTTGTCTGGCTTCGAGATCACTCATAGCCTATAATAATCAGGCTTTAGTTTCAACAGGAACATTAGTTATTTTTAGGTAAGTCATGTAATATCCAAGTTGCAAAACTAAAACATTCCAGGGTAAGAGGTTCAGTCAGAATTATTTCACACCCACAGTCATGCAGAAAGGTGGTGTGGAACTCCGCCTTAACCTTGCGTTGAGTGTCCCATATTCATGTTTCAACAGATAAGCCACATAGTGACGCATGCATGAGCATTCTCCATCAGTTCTGAAATATTACTCGGGTAGTGTTAATAATAATATTTAAGGAATGTCCAGCGTCCAGTTCGTTTCAGCAGCTATCAGGTAGGCACCTTTTTCTGCTTTGTTGCTCTGTAATTTGTGACAGGTGCGCTGTTTGTGTCACGGCTGCTCATTTTCTTTTGGTCTAGCTCGATCAGGCTCTATAATAAATCTAATTAGGTCAACCGTTTTTTAAACGTTAAGAGATTGGTAGCTCAATTCAAAAGCAGTTTATGTAGTGCTCTGAGAACAGGAGGTTGGAGTTCTTGCAGTTATACAGTATGTGTGACTTGACTGCGAGGTCCTTCACTCACAGAGATGCATCACTGTGCCATGTGCTCTCTTTCCCACAACAGCTATTTATACGTAGTGAAAGTGATCTCATAGACCTATACTAGGGAGTGAACCAGATCTCTGCCTCATTTGAAGAGGCTTCTGGCCTGTTTTGGCTTGAAAGGGGTAGCCCTGGTACTTGTGCAGTGAATTGTTTGCGGACATAGAAGTCCCTTTTAAGGAAGGTGATGGTTTGGAAGTATTTTCAGTTTACCAACGGAACCTCTCTCACGGCATCAGGTTTCCTTCAGTCCCCGAGCAGATAGAGCGTCTGTCTTTCAGCCTCGGCATGGAGCAGAACGGATGAGGAGCCCGGCTGTCAGGATTTGTACTATATGTGCCAAACCAGACAACCTGAAAGGATCCGTGCACGATGCCGCACTTGCTGAGAACAATCTTGTTCCTTGTCTATTCTCGGACTGCGTTTTCTGAAACCTTATAACGCTTCACCTTAGTTTTGCAATTTGCCAGACTTTTCACATATCAAATGTATGCAATCAGTGGGTCCCTGCGTTGAGAGCGACAGTTTTTATTATATGGACCAGACACTGATGTGCATAGCCCATGTCATGACCCAGTTGGCAGCATTATTTCTCCATGCGCTGCACACCACTGACTGCTGAAGACTGTCTCCTTGTATGTAGGTTGGGTGTGTTCAGCTTGCTGTGAACCTGTATACAGCAAGTGATGTTACAGACCCTTTCAATGCTGACTCGCTGAAGGGTCTGTGGGGCTCATAATGAGAATAAGCAGGTGTTTATAACAGTGCAGAGATGAGTAAAGTGCGCGTGGTCCTCATCCACCCCATAAATTGAACAAAAATAGACCGTCAAGGTGCTTAACAGTTGGTAGTTTCAAATTGTGTGCTTGTGTGAGTAGGGAGTGATAGAAACTAATGATGGGCAATTTAAAATGATTGAGCTAATGAGTAGATGTAATTCGTTAGCAGTCCTGGCAAAGACTCGCAGCTGTTGGCCATTTTCTCAGGAAGCTGTTTCTGCCCAAGTGTGCATATTTTCAAGTGCATGGCTGGTAGTATAAATTTGGTAATGTGGCATCCACTGTATTCCAGTCACCAATCAATCAATTTGGAGCTAAGTGGGTCTTCAAAACAGGACTAACCATGGGATTTATGTTATCATTTTCTCAGAAGAGAATTCTCAGATGAGCTCTGATAAGTGGTGGGGTTGGTACCACGGAAACAGTAAATGCACATTTTGTTTTTTCACCAATCGAAATGTTATTATTCAAGTGCTTCCAAGTCATTCTCCAGGACACTTCGGTTGCAGTTAGTGTTGGTCTCTGCAGTCGCCTGATCTGGACTCGAGGTGCATTTGTACCTTGTGATGGGCTCATATCCCGCCTTGAGCCTGTGCTTCTTGATGAGGCTCTGGGTTGCCAAGGCCCTTTTTGCTATTGGATGTAAACTTAATTGAACTGATGTAGATCATTTTAACTGCAGCGAATGCAGATCATTTTAATTCTATATGATTTAAAATACGGCGATCTTCCGGCCTTGGCCTAGAGGCTCAACTGTCTCTTTGAAGTCCGTTCTTTCTGCTTAGCCTGTTTATATGGGCTCTGTTCTGGGAGATGGCTCGTTGCTAAGGAATTCCTGTCTGTCTGACAAACTGTCACACAACATAACGCTCTCCATAGCGCTTTCCGAGCCACACACCTGTAAGGGTATCTCTCTGCAGGAAGAAGGGGGGTTGGGGTGGGAGAGCTATTTTGGGATCCCTGGGAAAAGAGCTCTGGGACATGGCGGGGGGGGGAGGGGGATGGCCAGTTAGAAAATCAAAAGGGTCAAATCCAACCCCACGTGATCGTAAATCCAAATCATCATAATCCCCAGGTACATTTTAGTTGTCTGACATATTAAGTAAAGCCATGATGGGGTCTTTTGTGTCAGCGAGAAATTCTTCTGTACATCTGCCCTGATTTATACATGTCTACATTTCAAGTTCCATCATCTTTTAATGAAGATAAATCCAAGGCACCGTTCTGACAAATGTCCTTTTAAAATCCTATGGAGCAATATAGCTCGTACAATTTGCCGTCTCCTTTGCTGACTGTCCCCCAGCACAGTGCTAGTTTGATTAGGAGTTTGGTTTTAGTTCAACTGAATTGAATGGGGATCGCAGATTAGCCTGGCTTTTGAGTGGGCTTTGCTCACTTATATTTAAGACATTAATAGCTGTTTTGTTCATTGCACATGCTGTGTTGTTCGATAATAACTTGGATCTGGCTCAGCTACCAGGCTGTGCCTTCATCTGCCTTGGTTGATTGGCATCATCCGACATTGTAGATCAATAACCTAAACCCCGGCTGAACAAAGCACTAGTAGACAGAGAGTTTCTTGGTAAGTGATGCTGTGGTTATGTTTTGAGGTTGAACGTGTCACACTGATCTGACAAATTATTTTGGAATGTACGTCACAGTTTTAAAAAAAAATACATTGCTACATTGTTTTTTGAGTTTGGCTCTCATAAAGAGATCTGAAAAATGTTTTGTTCTCTCCGTTCCTTTGGTAGTTGGTGAATAATGATTTGTTCTGATTGTATTGACGGTTGTGTTCATCAATAATCTAACTCCTGTTTCCTCCACCCAGGCGTGAGATGAGTTTCCCCTCCCCTGCGTTGACCAGTCAGATTAACTGCAGGGGACCTGTCTGTGGTGGAGACGACTAATCAGTGGAAGGACACCCACTGGTGAACCTTCTGAACAACAGTCTGCTGCAGAGAAGAAAGGCACACAGAGTGGTTCGGAAGAAGAGAACTGCCTTTCTGGGATACTGAAACAGAATTAAAACATTCGGAAAGAAGAATACGAATTAGAAGGGGAAGGAGAAGAGATCCAAGAAGGAGGGGGAGAGAGGAGGGGCTGTGCACAGCAGAAACACAATCCTCTTAGAAAGCTGAGGGGGGGGAACCGAGAGCGAGAGACAGACACGGGGAAGCAAGATACCGTAAGAACTGCTTGGATCCGGGGGATCAAGACGAAGAGAAGTGACAAGGTTTACATATGAAAAATTTCTGATAGGAAAAGATATTGAGATACAGCGAGGGACAGCAGAGCAAGAGGCAAGTAGCTGCTGAGAGATGGGCTATGGGGGCCATGGTGACCTAGCGTAAATGGCTTTTCCTGAGCAGAACTTAGTGCCAGTGTGCTGCTCAACCCTCCTCCTCCTCTCCCCCTCTCGCTCTTCACCTCTCGCTCCTCGTCCTCTCCTGCACAGCCCTGCCTCCGCCTCGTCCCTGCAGCCCTCGCCAGTGCCACCCCAGAGATGCCTGCTGCCATGGTGGGCATCTGGAAGCTGGTGCGGAGCGTGAGGCAGCTGGAGCTCCATCGCCTCATCTTGGCACTGATCATTTTCAGTCTCTTCTCCATGGCCTTCTTGGCTTACTATGTCAGCAACAGTCCCAAAATCAAAGAGGCGCCTCCGCTGCCTTTTAGTGACTGTGGTGGGGGGGGGGCAGCAGCCGATAGCGGAGGTCAACGGGCACCTTTGTTCATTCCTGCTCAGACCAGTCGTCGTTTCATCAAAACAGTGGACAATTCCCACACTGACCCCGTAGTGCTGGTCTTTGTGGAGAGCATCTACTCCCAGCTTGGGCAGGAGATCGTAGCTATACTGGAGTCCAGCCGCTTCAAGTACCGGACTGAAATTGCCCCGGGCAAAGGTGACATGCCCACGCTCACCGAAAGGGACAAGGGCCGTTACACCCTCATCATCTACGAAAACATCCTCAAGTATGTCAACCTAGATGCCTGGAACCGAGAGCTCCTGGACAAGTACTGCGTGGAGTACGGGGTGGGCATCATCGGCTTCTTCAAGGCTAACGAGAACTCGCTGCTCAGTGCCCAGCTCAAGGGCTTCCCCTTGTTTCTGCATTCCAACCTGGGGCTTCGAGATTACCGCATCAACCCTAGTGCCCCCCTGCTCTACGTAACACGGGCCAACGAGGTGGACCAGGGCTCCCTGCCTGGAGATGACTGGACGGTCTTCCAGTCGAACCATAGTACCTATGAGCCAGTGCTCCTGGCCAGCACAAAGTCCTCCGAATCGCTTTCCTACCTCGGTCCCCACCGGGCCCTGTATGCCACCGTGGTCCAGGACCTGGGGCTTCACGACGGCATCCAGAGAGTGCTCTTCGGCAACAACCTCTCCTTCTGGCTGCACAAGCTCATCTTCGTGGACGCCATTGCCTACTTAACAGGCAAGCGACTCTGCCTGTCACTGGAGCGGTACATGCTCGTGGACATCGATGACATCTTTGTGGGCAAGGAGGGAACCCGTATGAAGGTGTCCGATGTGGAGGTGAGTGTGCTCTGGGCTTTGCGATATCATTTTCCTTGTGTCCATTTTCACTCTTGATGCTTACATGAGAATCCTATGGAGGTGAGAATCCCACATACATTTCAGTTTTATATAGTTCAGGCTTTTCTAAGCTGCAGGTTCTAGTGGGAGTCATACGCACAGGTTAAGATCTCAAGCAAGACATTTGGAGCACCAAGTTTATATACAAGTGCCTTCATCTTAACAAGCTGTAGAGGATTAAATGACTGTGCAGTGACCAAAACTAAAAATGTCCGTCAATTTAATCTCTTCCCCGACTTCAATTATCCCCCATATAATTACAATTAAAAATCCATAACCATAAAATATTCAGAAATATTCTAAAAACAATTAAGCCAAGCCATAACGGTATTAGCGTATATAATTAGAATAGTAAAACCACATTATTTTAAATTTGTTGATAGGTCCACTTAAGCTACAACTGTAAAAAGCTCTGCACATTTACAACTGCTAGTGGGATCATCTATGCACTTGCAGTACATTTAAAGAGGATATACAGCAATGAACTTGGTAAGGTGCTTGCTCCTTATTACAGTACATCTTTCTCTGCAGTGCAGTATTATTACTGAAATGTCAGCACACAAACAAGTATAAGACAACATTGAAAACCAGGTTTGCCAGAAGCAGTCATCCATAAATCTGAATATTATTCATACATTCCCACATGATGGGAGGGCTCATCCCTCGCTTGCATACTGGGACTGCAGCATCACTGCTTCCCAGCTGAAATATAATAGACAATCTACTAGTTAAGAGTTACCGATCTGGGGAAAAGGTAACAGGTTCAAATGGCTATTTTTAAACTTGGTGCAAACAGTAATTAATGGTAACCGTAAATGCAAATTCTCTCATTTTCAAGAAGTACTTCTGTTTTTTTAAGAAAAATCGAATGATTTTAAGTGGAAAATGATCACAGTAATCACTAATGCTATTTGGGATAGCCTGTGAATTAGCACATACAGACATGATAATTTAGGGAAAGTGAGAGGAGGCTCTGATTCTAAATTTGTCTAGAATTATTTTTGTAACTAAATTTCAAATGACAAACTGGTAAATGACTGCCGCAAGAGCATAGTTCTAGCTGGATGTGGAAGATAAAAACAACAAAACAAAAAAAAATAACGATCATTGTGCAGATCCCATTGTGGGGTTTTCTCTAATCCCTGACTGACTTCATCTTCCAAAAGAAAAGGCCCCCTTTAAACTGGCCATGTGTCGCCCAATATGCTGCTAATTTTATCATGAAATGTACTATTCTTTTCTATATCTTTTAAATCCATTAGTGATTTCTAAGATTTCATTACTGTTTTGGAGGAATTATAATATAAAGTATTGGAGAGAGTGGTGTTATTTTTTTCTTTTAAATCCTTTTATTGTTCTACTAGTATATCGATTTAATCTCTGAGCAACGTACAATGGCTTCCTTCTCATCCTGCCTGCACAGATCATGCAGAGGGCTTCTAAATGGACAACAGGTTTTAATCACCTCAAGCAGTGTAGGGGTTACAAGGCACAAATAAGGCCCGTCTGATAGAGAGCTAATCCCGTCTTTTCTCACTCACTGTGCAGTCTCAGCATGGCCTTTAAGCACTAAAGCTGATTTCTTTCAGAACAGCTCCTGGCACACAGGTGCATGCTGTTGAGTGAGCCCAATCCCATGAGTCTTTTCTCAAGCACATTCACGAAACTGCGATCTGTAATGTAGCCATGGATGGTGTTCGAGGCTCAATATTAACAGGCACTTAAAGATCGTGATGGTCTCACTTTTGAAATTTTGTAACCAATACAGCCAGCGTTTTGCACTCCAAAATATACATTTTTGTATGCACATAAACATTGCACAAAAACCATAAGCTGCCAAATGAGAACCGCTGAGCTGGTAGAAGTATGATATGATAAAGAACTTTCAGAGACGCAATAAAAAGACAGACAATGTTAGAATCTGTTTTTAAAAGTGAGGAAATTATATCAAGGGATGTTATGTTAATTGCTTGTATTTGTATAGCACTTTCTATCCCAGTGGGCCCCCAAAGAGCTTTGTGTGGAAGATAATTGCACAGCCCACCTTGAAGACACCTGGCAAGCCAATCTGTGCCAGCAGCCTTCTGCACAGCAACACAGGTGGAAAGTGAGAACTCTAGTGGGCAATTCAGTTTGGCCATATTAAGCAAGCATGAAGTATAATTAAGCCAGAACCAGTGGGGTTATCCCGCCCTATCTCCTGAATTGCAGGATTCATAATGTCCAGGTAGCCAGGAACTCAATCTTCTTAGCAGCAGGACAGCATCACCTTCAGCAGGTGTGTCTCCTGTCACCGTACAGGAGCTTTCGTTTTGAAGTTGTGGTACAGACTCCAGAAGGAAAACTGCCCCCTCCTGGACCACTCTACCTGCTTTTCCTTCACGATGACTCAGTTCAGACTAAACCCTGCATTTTCTGTAAACAGGTGTACCACAATCGGCCACAAAAACATTACTTAATATTTTTTTTATGTTGCTGTACTAAAGAGGTTTTTTTATAGAGAGAAGGCGGTTTAAGCTAAATTTGTGTTTGTGTCCTTAAATTAGTACGTGCAAACTAAATGTGTGAGAGTCTGCAGAAGACAGTGTGTTGGAGTATTTGGGTTAAGGTGGATCGTCCAGCTCAAGTTGGTCAACTCGGAGCTGTTACAAAGTAGTCAGGAAGTATTGTGCTGCCAGATCTGTGGAGGTGGATTTTAAAACCTGGAGACAGCAGAAGGTGCAGCAGCCAAATACAGGTCACTTGGAGGCCTAGCCTCTCTGCTCTAGTTCCCATTATGGTCTCTGTGACAGCCGCCTGTAACCACTGTGTCTGAGCCAGCTGAGGCCGGAACTGCTCTGAGAGCTCAAGTCCACTTTATCCAGGAATTCCCACTGCTGTCCCCATCCCACCCACCAAGCTGGTATTCTAAAACACGCACTGGAAAGCCTGTGCTAAAAACTATTTTTGGAAAACCCCTGCACAATGTAAAAAGGATCGCAGTTATTTTCAGAAACTTGGGGGCAAACCTCACATTAAACGATCCAGCATGCTGAAGTATGTGAACATCTGTATGCACACATACTGTATATACTGCTGACAAATACTAGGGACTTCGTAAGTGTAGCTTTGTATGTTTTGATCTTATAGTTCTATAGAACTATAAATGGAGTGGTTCTGCTTCACTGTGTTTGTCTCTAGTGTGACAAAAGCATCAGGTCAGCCATGGATCCGTTACCAGGGCTTCTGTGTCGATGTTCGTGTTCGGATTTTGTCGAGAGTGGCACACAATGAGTGCACGGGCAGCCAGTGTGCATAAAGGCACAATGCATTTAGCTATTTTTTATGCAACAAATGTACTGCATTTATCAGAGAGTGAAGATTGGTTGGCACCTAGCACATACATTGCAGACCAGAAGTAACCAAGTTAACTGGATTGACTTTGTCATCAGTCTAGTTTGGAAATGTTGTCAACCAACCGGAAAGCTGACTGATTTGAATTTTAACTGGCATCAACTTTGTAAATGCAAACGTTGTTTCAAATTGAAAGTGTTCCTCCACTGAATAGCAGGAAGTCTCGTTGTAGGTGATATAAAGTTTGAAATACATCACACATTGGGAGGTAAGGACTTGGGCCCTTACACCACATTAGGCAAACTGCCCGGCCACTCTGGGTTCATAATTCACATTTACAGCATTTTCCAGGTCCGCAGTATAACCCTGTTTTCTCTTTCTGGCAATTCACAGCACAAATGTGAAAGTCTGTCATCATTCAAAAACAGAGGGTTTTCAATTTCAAATAACATGCTTGGAGATATGTAGCCAGCCTGTTGTCTCAGTTTAGTATGAACCAGAGAATCTATACACCCCCAGTCAACACCCCTCAGCTTTGCTTCTGGAAGTGCTGGTCCAGCAACTGCCAGGAGAAGCACAGGGAACAATTAAAAAAAAAACATACAATGTGGGTGTCCAGTGTATGAAAAGATGGGCTAAAAGAAAAAATATGGACTGCAGTTTTGCTGAAATGTGCACAGGAAGCTACACAGAAATTAAATGGAATTTTGCAGGAGAGATATATTGCGGTTGTATAACAGAGATCAGGAATAAATAGATGTTAGAAGTGACAGTGTCAGCCAATTAAAGAAAAGAGGAATATCTCTCATCTCTTGAAAGAAGAGAGGATGAAAAGGGACTTGATAGTGTGTCCCACATCTACAGCAAGGATACAGAAAAAACAGAAACCACTGATGCACCCCATCGGCACGGAGGGTTCATGTTTGTCAGGCTGGGCAAACCAGAGCTGTCCACTGTGGAGATTTGAAAATACCTTGTGATCTCAGCGGCTTGTGCTCAATCCTGCCACTTTCAAATGGCTCTTTTGATGCAAATGTTTAATATTAAACATGTGCGGTTTATTTTGAGCACATCAATATTACATTAAATGAACGACCCTAGTCCAGTAGGAACTCTTTAATACTGTAGTGGTATACATGATGACGATAAGTGGTTTTGTTCATTTTTAAAGGTTTTATTTTTACATATAACAGCTATTATAAATAATATGATCCTAAATATATGAAATACTGTATGTACTGTAAGTATTTTATTCTTGGATTGGTGATTTGGGCCTTTAGCCTGCCCAGAGGTGGTACTTATTCTTGCAGTCATACAGCTCAGAGTGGTTTATATCTTACTTATTTAAGGAGGTCCTTGGGATTTTAAGGAACTGATTTTTTTTCTGTGCTCTGAACAAGGTTGTTGGTCTTTTCAAGTGTTCTGTCAGTAGAGAGTCCTATTATATTAAATCACAGTGTCTTTGTCTATTTTTACTGTACATTGTGATATAGTTTGTAAACGTTGTGTTTCCTTTCTTCTCTTTTCAGAATGGAATAAACCTTTAACTTTTCCTTTGCAGCCTTCACATGTTGACATGGTTATCCACCTAACCTACTATAGTGTGTTAAGTTCATCCTGGATGTCTGGAAGGATTAGTTACGGTGTGTCCTGTTGATACTGTCATGCTGTACATTTACAATGACTTCTATCTCTTACTCTCAGGCTCTTCTCAACACACAAAACAAACTGAGAACTCTGGTCCCAAACTTCACTTTTAACCTGGGATTCTCTGGAAAGTTCTACCACACAGGTAAAATGGGTTAAAAATGTGTCTGGGAAGTGGCTAGGGTGAGCAGAACAGTATTTCCTGTGGGAATGAATAAGGTTCATGTAACCCAGATTGTTGAGCATGGAGGCAGTTTGTTTCAGACGCTGTGTGGCAACCACTCCCTGATGTGAATGCTCTGCATGACCCTTCAAACTTCATATGTCACCTGCGTGAAGCAGTCTTTTTCCTATCTCTTAGATCTTATTTAATAAAAATTGCAGTACTTTATATGCAGTGTTTTTTGCCTTTCTGAATTTAAAGGAACAAGCAGAAATTAATTCCAAGCTGAGAATGAACTTCTCCTGTTAACGAAGGAGATTAAAACGATGGACTTTCTATTAGCACTAGCTGCTTTATGGAAATATGCTGGATCGATTGAATGAAATGTGGCTTAGAGAAGGTGACGAACAGTGACGGTCACCTTATGTTGGGAAACTGCTAAATGAAATTCAGTCCTGATAAAGCGGGTTATAGTGCACGGCGCTGCCCCAGAGACTGAGGGTCAGTTCTTCGCCGCTCTGCTTTGCCCACAGGCACGGATGAGGAGGACCGAGGCGACGACATGCTGCTGCGACACAGGAAGGAGTTCTGGTGGTTCCCCCACATGTGGAGCCACATGCAGCCCCACCTCTTTCACAACGTCACCGTGCTGGCCGAGCAGATGAGGCTCAACAAGCTTTTTGCACAGGTGGGGCGAGGGGTTTATCGGGGGGGCAGCTGCCAAGGGGAGCAACTGGCCTTGTGTCCCGAAGAGTGGTGTGGGAACAGAAGAAGAAAAGACAGAGAAACAAAGGGCAGGTCTTCTCCACAGTCTTCACAGCAGCCTCCATGACAAGAGGCACTCCTCATAGTTCAGGAGCTGTAAACTGTGAAGCAAAGGCAAGTTGATGGGAAAACCCGTGAAACACAAGAGTCCCCCCTGGGCATTTAAAACAGACATGGGGCTGAAACGCTCCGAACTATGACAGGAAGACCATATTCATGCCACAGCCTTTCGTGGCCGTGTAAAAGCTGCCCTGAAAACGCTGTTCTTCTCTTCTTATCTTTCAAAGGGCTGTGCTTAATGCTTATCCCAATTTCCGAGGTACCAATAATGTTTGCCTTCCAGGCTGAAGCAGATGTAAGATCAAAACAGAGATGGAAATAAGACTGATTGGATTAAAGTGTGTGTGTATGTACATACACATACCCTGCTGTGCAAAAATCTTTGAGGTTTCGTATTTGTCTTTTTTCATTATTCTTTTCTTCAGTGGTGGTAATCTGCTGAAGTTTTAATCATTTTTTTGTAATATAGGAGTTAATCCTGCAAGATCTTTATTGTGTGATACAAAAAGTAGTCTTTCGGCTTTATGGATCTGTGGAAAGGGACAAGTGAGGTTAATGATGAGGAGTGTCTGAGAATGAGTAGGTAAATGTGATGGATTACCTGCTGCAACACTTCTGTTAACAGCAACCTGAGATGCTGTGCGTTTTTAAAGGTTGTGATCAATATGAATTAAAGATGGCTGGTTTCTTCACACCTAAATTAAGCTGTTTTGCATATAGGCTGTTACAGTGTTAGAACTACTGTAACAACTGTGTAAACAATTGTGGTGTAAAGTCTGTAAATGTCTGAGGCTCTTCACATCATATACTGTGTCTCCGAAGTGTGTCTTAAATCTCTTGTACAGCAGTTTGTATGCCTGACAATATGTACATATGTGAATATGCTATAATAAGAACATGAAGCCAGACGTTTCTAAATATATATATACATATATATCCCCAATATTTCAGAATTCGGGGCTATCCTTGGTTATAGTTACTGTAACATATACAATAATTATTAAAAGCTTTCTTTAATGTACATGTATAACATGAACATTTTAACTCAAAATAGTTATTTTGAAATATCCTGCACAAGCTTGCGCCTGGTACATTAAAGCAAGTAGTGTATTTTAAGAAGATTATACTCGCCACTGATACTTTTTAAAATCTTTTCAACTGTATCTGTTGAATTGTCGGTAAAAAATGTCTCATTTTCTTCACCAGAACATAGCCTCACAGTGTACAGTACTTACGAAGCACATCTTTCATGGTTTTTTAGGGTTAGCTGAAATCTTAATGAATCAGGGTACATGTGAATACACATTTTTTGTTTCCAAGTGCCCAGTGCTAGAAAGCAGGACCATCTACAGACACTTTCGATTCCACTTAATATCTTAAGTCAATGGTAAGCAGCAGTGATCCTTATATAAGCCCTTCTCCCTAAAGAACAGCTATTCCACACTGCAGACTCTTAATAAGGGTGAAACAGCTGTCAGTTATGGCCTAATTTGATTTAATATACACAAAGTAGCATTAGGTGTCTCTTGAGACATGTCTGCGTCAGATCATAAGGAATGGGAGAGCTAATTAATATTTGTAATATACAGTATGTGTTTCTACTTTAGAAAAACAAGCATTAGCTGTTCATTATCCTAATACTTGACAATCACCAGTGAGGGCTATACATGGACCTTATTGTATTATGTGATAAGCTTGAAGAAAAGGCTATAGGAGGTGTTCAACTTGATCAAATACTCTGTTGCTCAGTGCCTCATAAATAATTGAATCCTCCTTCATTTTAAGGAGATACTAGAACTGATGTAGCAGAGATATGAATTAGATGTACTGGGTCTCCATCTAGTGGAGAAATGAGAGACGTTCAAATCACTCTTTTTTTATTTGAATCAAACATTTCCACTTAAATCTTAAGTTCAATATAATGTTACACCACAGAGTAATGCCGCTTACACTTCCATTTGCCTTTCAAAATCAGTTCTTACATATGTATATATTACAAAAATAATTTTACATTCGAGAAAATGCAAATATGTCCTTTCCTCTGATGTGCTTGTCAGTGTTGACTAGTTTGTTCTATGTTTGAAGTAATTTTAGTGCCAGCCCTTGAGAATCAGTTTCTGGGAATTGTCCCCAGTGAAGGCGGAAGTAAGAGGCATATTTAATGGCATTGCACAACAGCTCTCAAAGGTTTTTGTTCCATTTTTTCTAACAACTCCTCATCTACGTACTTTTTTTTGTTGCAAATTTTTTTTATATTTAAAACTTGTCCATTTCCAGAAAATAAGAAATAGTTTTCTATTGGGTTAAAAAATGAAAAGGAGCTAACTTTGACCAAGAACATGGAATAATAGGGACCGCCTTTTCCTGCTGTGTTTCTCTTGCTCTTTTGTGTCCTGCAGCGGTACGATTCATTTTTAAGACTCACCTGCGGCTGCTGGTCCTGTCCCCCTTTGTCCCCTGCAGGAACACGGCATCCCCACAGACATGGGCTACGCGGTAGCACCCCATCACTCGGGGGTCTACCCTGTGCACAGCCAGCTGTACGAGGCCTGGAAGTCAGTGTGGGGGATCAAAGTGACCAGCACCGAGGAGTACCCCCACCTGCGGCCCGCCCGCTACCGGAGGGGCTTCACACACAGTGGCATCCAGGTACGACCCGCCTCCCTGCCACGTCCTCCCTGGCCAGCAGAGACAGGACCCCGGCAGATGGCACAGATCACGAATGCCAAAACACTCTGTTGCACCACTGTGCCAGACGAGATTTTATTCTTTGACGTCCTGTGAGCTGTTATTTTCCACTGGATGTACAACTGGCCATATCTGATCATCTGTTCACAACAGACAGAGTTCATGTCTGTTATTTTCAGAACATTTACAGCCATTAATGGATGTAATGCTTTGAAAAGATGCCATTTTGCTTTTCCTTTCAGAATTCTTGACTTCTGCTTGTCTTTTTCTCTTATTTAGGTACTTATCTTTCACTCTCACTGTCTTTTCCCCATTCAGGTTCTGCCCAGACAAACCTGTGGCCTCTTTACGCACACAATATTCTACAACGAGTACCCAGGAGGCTCCCGGGAGCTGGACAGGAGCATCCGAGGAGGAGAGCTGTTCCTCACTGTGCTGCTGAACCCTGTGAGTCCCCTGCCATGTGTCTGCTCCTGCACAAACCCAGCGACACACCCTGTGACAGCGCACGAAGCAGGAAGATGCATTAATCTGAATGCTGGTCCTTGGAACACACTCAAATTCTAATTGCTTCTTCTACACAGTTAATTAGTCCTTAACAGGAACTTTAGCTCCCAAATTATGCAAGAAGGGAAGAAATAAATGTTAAAATAATAAGGTGCTGGTTCAATAAATAAACATGTTTATCTGTGGGTACCCTACATTCCCATACCAAGATGAGTTTAATGGATGTCAGTGTGGACAACACTGTTTACTGGTTACTGGCTCAAAATAGGAACTGCACTGGGAAAGTGGTGGGTGGGGAGCCCTCACAGCTGTCCCACGAGGTAGTTTAATAATGTTACCACTTCTTTAATTTCACTACACTCCTCTGGCTGTGGTGTTGCTTGTACCAGTCCTGTTGCGACTTCCCTACCCAGGGGACGGACCCTTGCTGGCTACAGTAGAATTGTTTTGCTCTGAACATATTGGGGGATCCATATCCATGCATTTTCAAAGAAAACACAGCACCTGACAGCATTTTTCAGTGTTTTTTTTTTTTCTGCCAGTAAACGACGCTTGCACGAAAAAAAATCGTTCTCCTTCCGAATGCTTGTTCTGCACCAGACGCCGTTAACTCCTGCCCTCTGCATTTGTGTTCGGTCGGATACGTCGCCCAACCCTGTTATTAATGCTTTCTTTTCCCACGTCTCCCTTCAGATCAGTATCTTCATGACTCACCTCTCCAACTACGGCAACGACCGCCTGGGTCTGTACACCTTCGAGTCTCTGGTGAAGTTTGTGCAGTGCTGGACTAACCTGCGCCTGCAGACCCTGCCCCCAGTGCCCCTTGCCGAGAAGTACTTCCAGATCTTCCCTGAGGAAAGAGACCCCTTGTGGCAGGTATGGGAATTCCACCAACATACAGTACAATGCAATCTACCAAATGCCATTTTGGAGTCGAGTTATTAAGATTTTGCATATTAAGAATCCTTTTATTATTTTTTTTTACAGATTTTATTAGTTCTCTTTTAAGAAAGTTGCTTGTACTTTTCCACATGTTATTGAAAGGGGCCAAAATAACATCCATTTTTGCAGACAAATTTACTAAGTTGCTTTCCAGTTTTAAAGCAGAAATAAAGCTAAGTTAGATGGAGGTAGGTCCAGCTGAATAGCAGTCTACAGAGAGAGGTGTTGTGCGGTTTGTGCAATGTGTGTTGGTGGAGGTAAGTGCTATAACATTCTGCCTAGGTTGCTGTGGTGAGATGGTAGTGTACAGGTTGTTAATGACATTCTGATCCTTCTTAGAACCCCTGTGATGACAAGAGACACAAAGACATCTGGTCGAAGGAGAAGACCTGTGATAGGCTGCCAAAGTTCCTTGTGATTGGTCCTCAGAAAACAGGTGAGAGAGTCCCACTCCTTGCTGTTGCTGAGGTATTGATTCAGAGTGACCTGCTATTTTCAGACCACAGCCAAACTCAAACTCTGTGTCTTTCACACAACAGGTCAGGCGTAATTCAGGCAACAGGAAAACGATATGCATTCAAACTAAGGGTGTCAAAGTACACTGATTTTTTTTTTTCTATCGGTACAGAAATTAAATACAGAATCTAAATGGGTCAAAAGCTGATAATTTTATATTGTCATCCTTCCGGCAACATCAGAAACCCAGTTTGTCTGTGAAGACTGCAGCAGGCACGCAGTTTATCATTGGATATTGTCAGTCCTGCTGACAAAATATTTCCCTGGTTCTTCCATTGTTACAGAAGTCAAGCTCCATTATGGGGTGCATTGTATTTTTATTCCAATGTAAACCACGTACTAAACACTTTTACTATGATTTTGTCGACTGGCTTTGATGCGTCATGACAATAATTTTATTTTGGTGTTCTATATAGTACAGCACATCATGAACAGTGCTGTGCAAGAGGCTTCCAGGGAACTGCATGTTTCCTGAGTTGCATGGAGAAAAGCCCTGATTAAAGCAGCTGTGCAGTGCTAAGCGCTCAGCCATGTGCCATTTTCATAGTACCCACAATGTCATTAGCACAGTTCTGATACCATCACCACTTTTTCATACCATGATAACCACGCGAGCAGTTTACTGCATTGTCAGGATTGTTTTTTTGTCCTTGTCCCCATTTTGACTTCCTTGGGTTTTGGTAGTTTGACATTGAAAATTGTTATTCTACGGGTGACTAATGCTTTCACTGGCTCTTTAAAAATACTTGGGAGGGAAAAGGTATCATGTTGCTAAAATCGAGCCGTTGCAGTTATCCAGAATAATGTGGGGGGATAAATTCTGTTTACTGTTCACACACACTGAAGCTGGGCTGTAGCCTGTCTTATCATGCAGCTCTTTTGCTTTTTGTCTTTATTTTGTTCATTTGTCTTTAATACTATCAACAACCATTGAATCACAGAATTCAAAATTAAAACTCAGAATCCTAATAACATGAGGCTTCATGTGCACTATACTAAAAGCTATACAACTTAACCAGTAAATTTAATAATATTATAATGTTTCATTGCTTACTTAGCTATTTGCAAGAATAAATTCTTTCTAGATGTGTTGCTGATTGGTGAAAAAGTAGTCTACTTTTTGGAGCAATGCCTTATCTCTCGCCACCTGTTAAAATAACTGTGTAAATGGAAGTTAAATACAGTAACTTGATGTAGTGTGCTAGCTATATACAGTTTAAAGAGTAAGTTTTTTGTTAGCGATTTTTTATATGCAGTAGACTAGTAAAGCCTGTAACTCTGTACCATGTACGTTATCCTTCATTTCATTTTCGCTATCATAGAAAAGAGACAAGAATGCACAAAACCTGCTTCTTATCTTAATCTGAATTGCTATTATTGTCTTCCAGTGAGTTGTGAGTTTCTCCATTTTGCCGTAGAGAAATGTCAAAGTCAGATAATACTTAATCTTGGCTGAATGCCACCACTGTGTAGCCTGAGGTGTTAGGGAGAGTATGATATCTCAACTGGAGTCATTCTGCTGGTTCCTCTTTGCATTTTTAAGTATTTAAAATAGATCTCATAGTGAAACTGTAGGCAGATATATTCACGATGGCTTGCTCTTTGCATTGTCTTGCTGTAACGAAAGAAGTAAAATCTGTCGGTTGATTCCCTCAGGTACAACAGCCTTGCACTCATTTCTGACCCTGCACCCAGCCATCACCAGCAACTTCCCCAGCCCTCTCACCTTTGAGGAGATCCAGTTCTTCAACGGGCCAAACTATCACCGTGGCATCGACTGGTAAACACTCGCCTCTCACACTCACTCACTCCGGGGGGCACCGCCGACCTGCCCCTCAAAACCCCTCGTCTGCTTTCATCTTTCATCATGCACATAATGCATTAGAGCCACAGACCAGTGAAAAGACTACCAGGTTAAGGTCAGTTATATGGGTGAATCAACATTTTATAGACTGAAGTCTGGCTTGCTTTGGGGTTCTTTTTATTAGTAGATTTAAAAATATCATAGAAGATTTTAGGAACAAATGGTCCATTTATACAGAGATGGTTCATAACCGATAATTAATTGAGCCCCTCGTTTCAAAACTGAGCCATTGTGAAGACAATGTAAAGGAAGTTCTACACCGGTGCTCCATTTAAAAACGGAAAAGAAAACCTCTAATAATTCGCCTGACCAGAATTTTAACTTGGAAAGTTTGTGTAACACTTTAAAGCTTTTTGGATGACCAGTCTACCTTTATATCTCATACTGCTGTTCTTTATCGAGTGGTATTTTCTCTTGTGTTTTTGCATCTTTAAGACGTTAGTGATGCTGAGTGCTGCTTTGAAAGGCACTGACATTTGCACGAAGGGTAGTTTCAGGACATCTCTGCTGCCGCTCTCTCTAGGTATATGGACTTCTTCCCTTTCCCCTCAAATACCAGCACGGACTTCATGTTTGAGAAAAGTGCCAACTACTTTGACACAGAGGTGACACCCCGGAGGGCTGCAGCTCTGTTGCCCCGTGCCAAGATCTTGACTATCCTCATCAACCCTGCGGACCGCGCCTACTCCTGGTACCAGGTCTGTCGCCAGGGGCTGGGTGAGGGGCGAGGCTGCGCCAGGGGCTACACGTGACTCCCATATGGCTTAAAAAACAAAAAAACCCAACACCATGTCTCAGCTTGTGTTTTCCCAAGTTTTGAACTCTAAATTTACTCAATTTTACCAGAGGACAAATGTAAGAAATAAAGGGTTGTGGCAATGAGTGAGGAACACGCTACCCAGTCATGTTCAAGTGGGAATCGGTGTCAGCGTGCGAGCTTCAGAGGAGCAAGTGGAAATTAATCCTTCACTGAAATATAGAAAGAAAAAACCAACGCAGTGTATTGGCTGTGGAACCACAAGCTTAAGATCAGAAAGTCCTTCTTGTGCTCAGCCATGTTGTCAAGGCCGATATCCCGGCATCTTTCAATAATGAGATGGATGAGATCATTGTACTAACCAGCTGGGTTCTAGATGGGGCCGAAAGGCCTCTTCTGGTTTGGAACCATAAAAACTGAACAGAAACAATAGGAGCTCATGTACAAAAAGCAGTTACCATCATTGTTGATCAAGAGCAATCAAGGGTCTGGGGGCACAGTCACATCTGAAAACACGTTAAATCACATACACCCAAAAGTTCTCTATCACACAGCACACTCAACGCAGGGAGGTGGACACCCGATACACCGTGAGCACTGGGACTGCCAGCATGTTGCTGTGTACATTCTGTGTGCAAGTTTAAAATGGATTGGAAGTGAAAGGGTTGTCCCAAACGGTGTACAATTTAGGCATATCATTCACCTGGTCTGTAGAAGGTGACATATGTGGGAGGCGAATTTTGCCCAGTCTAGAAGCTAGAAGAGATATGATTGGAAGAAAGTTCTTCTGCCCTGTTTGTGAAAGCCAGAATCAAAGTGACTTTGAAACATTCCTTCGGAAGCAGGTTGTTTCCCAGAACTGATGCTCCTTTTTTTTTAACTAATTTTGATAGTGTGGCCTGTGACCTTTCCACTGGAGATATTCACTCTTGAAGCCAAACTGAAACTCAGCTATAGTGCAGAACAGTGACTGCCTCCTGTAATTTAACTGTTGGGATCTCTTCTCCTGTGATCAGCACTGTGGACACACTATACACCCACAAGCTCAACTCTGTTATACCAGCAAGTGCTCATCACTAGCCCTGCGCAGAGTGTGTATCTGCCGAGTACAGAGCACCATGCAGATGTTCACAAGTACGAAGCTCCCTTGTGCTTTAGACAGGTTAACCCCAGGATAGGTGCTGATGGCCTCGTCTGTAAGAGCCGGACCACACACCTTGCAGCCCTGACCTGGTGGCCAGGGGTTTCCGTGCCTCCACCGCAGCACTGCATTCAGTGTCACGGTGACCTCAACAGATTGGGACACCCGAGCAGTGCCGTCTGCCATAGCCTTGTTATTAGTTGTATCTCTAACAGGCAAATACGTTACCATGGGAGCTCATTGCTTGAAATATTGAAACACCATGGTTCGTTTTTTCTCTTATAAGTAAAAAATATTAGTATTCCACTTACTGTGGGAAGGAGTCTGGCCTTGACCAGGGCTGTGCTGGAGTGAGCGGGGGTGTGTGAGTGGATCATGGCTCACTGCCTCTCTTTCCTGTGTCTGCAGCACCAGCGGGCTCACCAGGACCCTATGGCTCTGAACTACACTTTCCACCAGGTAGTGACAGCCGGCCCGGGTGCCCCCCCTGAGCTCCTGGCCCTGCAGCGCCGCAGTCTCTCCCCAGGAACCTACGCCACACACCTGGAAAGGTGGCTTCAGCACTACCCCGCCAGCCAGGTATCGTCCCCCGCAGGATCCTCCGCTGCGATAGACAGAGGTGTACAGAAAGCTAAATGACCTCTTTTAAACTGCTCTCTACCCATCCATCCTTTTTCTAAACATCTTATGAAATTCAGTGCTGCAGGGGAGCCAGAGCCTATTCCAACAAGCAGTGGGCACAAGGTGGGGTTCAGCTTGGATGGGTCACCAGCCCATCACAGGACACACACTGACACAGACACAATCACAGACCCTGAATGAGTACACTGACACCAGGGCCAGTTTTCCCAGAAGCCAGTTAACTTAGATGTTTGTGGACTGTCGAAGAAACCCACACAAACGGAATATACAAACTCCACGCAGACAGCACGCTGAACACAGGACCCAAGCACTGCGAGGCAGCAGTGCTGACCTCTGTACCACCTTGCCTCCTCCTAAGTGCTCTTCGATTTTGATTCAAATCTTCCATGAAATTGCACATGATTACAACAATAATGTTAAAACAGGCATCTAAAACCTCACAGAAGTTCTGCAGTTCATAATGAAGTGGAAGAAATCACTCAATCTTTAATGCTATTTCAGTGATACTTTTTTGTGATGGCTTGCCAAAGGAGCCCATATCACGCTTCTCAGTTCTTTTTGTACAATTTTGAAAAATAAATAATGGTGTATTGTTTTTCCTTTTCAATTTTCAAAGCAGAAATTTAGCAATTTTGTACAAAATGACCACATCTCATTTAAGCCCCTTGGTTTGAAGTAATCACACTTGCTTGTGGCATTTTCATGTTCTCCCTATGATGTTTGAGTGGGTTTTCTCCAAAGACCTGGTAGCTGGATGAATTGGTGTCTTTGAATTGTCCCTTGTGTGCCTGTGTGTTTGCTCTGCGGAGTTCTGGTGTCCTATGCTTTGGGATTCACTCCCAGGTTGCTGCTAAATTTCCAGAGACAACTGGGTTTCCAACTAGCGTGGCATAATCATTGTAAATTGGTAATGAAGGGGTCAGGATTCATTACCATTATATGGTAGGGAAAACACCTGAAAAAAGTGAAAGTAAAAAAATGTTGCCCAGTCTAGAAGCTAGAAGAGACATTATTTAGTGTTCAGTGACTTAATTCTACCATTAGGATAGTTGGTGTTGATACAAGATCCGCTTGATTTTCAATAGAGACTAAGGAGACCTGATATGGGTATTTGAAATTCTTGAGCAAAACGCATTATGCAAAAACAGAACGGGGGGCACTGCTTTACTCAAAGGGTGGTGGGAGTCTAGAACAAGCTACAGTACCCACCCATGCTGCCGAACCCAATACCCAGGCTTCCTTCAAGAACTGTCTGGATGAAATCCTCCAGTCAGTTACCTACAGTACTAACAGCCAAGTGAGTTGAACAGCCTTCTCTCCTTTGGGAATCTTTTTTTTTGCTCTTTGGATGTCTTCTTGACAGTTTTCAGTTTTTTTGTATCTCCTCTGTCAGTGGCAGTGGGTGTTGCCATGTGGCACTGCAGTGCGGCCCCTTTCCTGCCTTGTGTGAGTAGTTGCTGCCCTGCACCACTGATCTCTCCTCTGCCCTCTTCTCTCTAGCTGCTCATTGTGGATGGCACTCAGCTGCGTTCCAACCCTGCTCTGGTGATGGAGGGCATCCAGAGGTTACTTGGAGTCACCCCTCTGTTCAACTACACCCAGGCCCTTGTGTGAGTTTCTCCTCTAAAACCCTCTGCAGAGTGGTTTTCCTAAGGGTGGGTGAATGAGTGAGGTACTGCGTGAAGAAAGAAGGGTGTTATTTATGTAGCATAGCAGGCTTTTTATTTAATCTTCCAAACTGAGTTAGGAAAACTGAATGTAATGTTCTGAAATATTCCTATATATGACCTACTGAAATGGCAGTGAAATCAGAATATTTTTCCAAACACTACGTGGAGTGTCTGTGCTTTTTTCAGTGGCGCCACTGTCATTGCCACACCTGAAGGAGATCCACCACCAAAACATTCATTTTGATCAGTAGTTCTTGGATTTCTTCACTGCAGTTTAAGACCTGAATAGAAACGTAACATACAGCACTACTCTTTTGTGTTTAAATGTAATTAGGTAGAAACTGGGAGATATGGCACTTATTTATTAAACAACAGAAGTGGTATATTCTAATGGAGAGAAACATAATGGCACAAGGCTCAGTATTGCTGCCTGGCAGCTCTGGGGTCCTTTCAGTTGCAGACATGGGGTGTTATCTGTGTGGAGTTTGTGTGTTCAGCCCATGTTCACTTGGCTTCCTCCCTGTGCTCCAGTTTCCTCCAAGAGTCCAAAGACTTACTGGCAGGTTAAATGGCTTCTGAGGAAACTCTGGCTCTGGTGTGAGTGTGTCAGTGTCTGCCCTGTGATGGACTGGCATCCCACCCAGAGTTTATCCTGCCTTCAACCCATTGCGGGGTTAGGCTCCAGCTCCCACTCCCCCGCCTCCTTTTATTGGATGAAGCAGATAGAAAATGGATGTATGGATGAATTTATACTCTGTACATGAGAAAACCCTGTTCTGTTAATTGGGCTTTTGAGCACTATAACATTTCAGTGAGGATCTAATAATAACGTGAACAACATGAAGCAACAGGAAGGTTTACAAATAAAGGATCCTAGCAGCCACAATATAACAAGGTATTTCACAAGACTGGGTTTTCTGAATTGTGTTAAGGGGTGCTAATCTCAAATACCTCATTTGTTTTCTAACATATTATTTCAGATGGTTCAGAATACACTTGGTGATTAAAGGTGTATAGTGTGTACTACAACACATTTGAAATAGATGTTTAATTGGACTCGGTAATTAAGTAGCTAGATCACCTGAGAAGCTGAGAAAGTGGGCTGCAGCAGAAATCGCAGGAGGCTGAGACTCTCCAGGGGTGACGCGTGTGCTCTTCTGTTGCCTGTGCTCCAGGTTTGATGACAGCAAGGGCTTCTGGTGCCAGCGGCAGGAGGGAGGCCGAGCCAAGTGTCTGGGAAAGAGCAAAGGCAGGAAATACCCTGACATGGATCCAGAGGTGCCTCATTGGTTTCTCATTTAGAGCAAGCGGGTATTACAGGAGAGAGGCCTCCACAGGCCTCCTTCACTTGGTCATAGACCTGCTGATATAAAGCAAGGCAATTAATATGGGAGGAATATTTCTGGAAATCATGCAATGTTCTCTTTGAAATATCAGCCTACAAAAGCTTTTTAGAAACATGCTTCTTGGTCCCCATAATAGTATTAGTAAGTGCATGCCTTGTCTTTATACATTTCACATTATGTGATCACACTCCAACTCTATTCCCTTTCAAGATTCGTTTTGTCCAAATGTAGTTAATTGCGTGGCTCAATTTATATCTTCCATTGAGTTATTTAGTTTAAACTCTTAATTGCTTGTGAATTGTCAGACTGTAAATATAGTTCAAGTCAATCCCTCTTTACGTCACAACGGCAGGTTGCGAAGCTGCTTCGGTTTGCCTGACAGTGACTCTCCCTTCCCCAGACGCGCTCCTTCCTGACCGAGTACTTCCGCGACCACAACATGGAGCTGCTGAAGCTGCTGAACCGGCTGGGCCAGGCGCTGCCCGCATGGCTGAGAGAGGAGCTGCAGAACACCAGCTGGAGCTGAGGCCACCCCCTGCCCGCTGGACCGGGGGTCCAGCCACACGGTGGAGCAGTGTGCCCAGGGCAGAGAGGGGCAAAGGCCACGGTCCTACCTGGAGAGCTACAGAAATCACTACGGAGGAGCCTAGATCAAAGCAGGGGGGCGCACAGACAGGTCAGGGAAAAAGAGAGGGGACCGCTGTGCTGTGTTCCAGGCTGCTGTCAGCCGAGCAGTAATTAGTGGCTAGAAAGAGCTGGCAGACGTCAAGCGGATAAGTGTTCTAGGGTTCCCTTTTCTGCCCATACTCTACTGTAGCAAAGAATGTTGGGAGGACTGCGGAGGACGTGTAAATGGACAGAAGGCCCTCAGTGTCAGGGCTGTAGGCACAAATGTATTATGAATTGGCTGCACCTTATTTTCCAATGCATGCACTTGCCGTACAGTTTGTGGAGTTACTGCAGCCAGGATTGGACGGCGAGTGGATGACATCACCCCCTCTTTGAGCAAGACCACCCACTTAAGAGGGACACGTGGGAAACACTACACAGACTCACAGAAGGAACTGGAGATCCCCGCCTTCTAACAACCCCTTTTTTTTAATCAGAATGATTGTAAAACATTGTACATTTCAAAGCGGTTGTATATTTTTTTGTGGGGTGGGATGGGGGGGGGGAGCGTTTTTAAATATGAAGCTTGTGGAGAAAGATGAATCTGCAGGAACAGAAGCTGCTTTTATTCACCCCAGGACTCTCAGACGAGCGTGAATCCACACCAAGCGCGACCAGCATTGTGGTCAAGCCAGCCTGCCCGTGCCGGGTGGTGGACAATTTTTAAAGCTACTTTCTGAAAGAACTGGACATTCCAAATAGCGATATTTTAACTTTTAGAAGCTGCGTCTGCACAGTGGTTTAGGAATCAATACCGAGAAGAGCACCATAGGAACTCGATGATGATCCAATGAACTGTTGCTGGGGAGTGTGGGGAGAGCGGGAGCTGGGGGCAGTGTATGTCCAAACTGTGGTCTGTCTTTAATAACATGAGCTGCTGTCTTTTTTGTTTTGTAAAAACTCTTTAAAAAATTTAAAAAAAACTACCGACACAGTATCGCCTCTAAATAAACGTAAAGGAGAGGTTGAAGTGACTGTCTGCTGTCTTATTGTGGCTCGAGGTCAGCTCATGGACAGATTCAGGCAAGCAGGGGTGTGCTGTGGATGGTAAGGGACGGGGTCTATAGCCACTCAAGCACAAGTGCTGACTGATATTCATGAAAGGGACGAACACAGAGTTTCAGGGCAGAGCAACAGAAGCATGCTGATCTATAAGGAATATAGGAAGAGTGTGAGTGAAAGGTCAGGTTATTTCTCTTTCAGTTTCTGTCAGACAGCCGGCAGCCATATCACCCTGCAACTCACAACTGGCAACCCACTGAAGCTAAGCAGGTGTGAGCCTGGTCAGCACCTGGATGAGAGAGCTCCTGGAAAAAACTAAGGTTGCTGCTGGAAGAGGTGTAAATGGGGCCAGCAGGGGGCGCTCACCCTGTGGTCCATGTGGGTCCTAATGCCCCAGTATGGTGACGGGGACACTATACTATAAAACAGGTGCCGTCCTTCGGATGAGACGTAAAACCGAGGTCCTGACTCTCAGTGGCATTTCTCGAAAAGAGTAGGGGTGTAACCCCGGTGTCCTGGCCAAATTTCCTCCTAATAATCCCCATCTATGAATTGGCTTCATTACTCTGCTCTCCTCCCCACTGATAGCTGATGTGTGGTGAGCGTTCTGGTGCGCTATGGCTGCCGTCGCATCATCCAGGTGGATGCTGCACACTGGTGGTGGTGGAGGGGAGTCCCCATTACCTGTAAAGCGCCTTGAGTGGAGTGTCCAGAAAAGCACTATATAAGTGTAAGCAATTATTATTATTATTATTTTTATTATCATTATTATTTTTATTAGTCAGTGGTTTGCCCATAGCAATTCATCTAAAATCTTATATTTAAAAAAAAAGAAATGTTGTGTATTAGGAGAGCCAGTAGGAGTTGGCTCAAAGTCAATGGGAAAATGCACATGCTGTAACTCGTTCATGGATGCTGCAAGATCAGTCAGTGCCAGCAATGTGGATTGCATTGTTCACCACCTGTTCTTCGCAAGAGAATTGAAGGTCTTCTGTCGGGTATGTCCCCTCATTACAGTACCCTTAGTCCTGTGGCCACATTCCTGCAGATTATCTATAAATTCGCTTATATGCGTCGCTTAAATGTAAGTTAAACGCCCGCCGTTATTATAACTTGGAACTAAATTATTTCGTTTAAAATATCTATTACTCAAACTGGTTCTAAGTTGTACACAGTCTAGCGCAGAGGGTGTTAGTAAATCGAAGCGTTTGTGTGTCGCGTAAAAACAAGCGGATTTCTGTCAAATATGTAGGAGGAGTTATGTGGTTTGGGGCTTTTGGTGTCCAGTATCGATTTCAGATTTAATTATATTTTTACAGTTGTGTCGTGTACTTTTTGTACAAAAAAAAAGTATTTTTGTAGAAGCATTCACTTGACATACTGTAAATGAGACGCTTAATCTCCCGAAGCGCAGCGGTGAGGGGTCACCTGCTGTGAGCGCAGAGGCTATCGCCGGCCGCGGATGAGCTCATGACACAGACTCGCGGTCGTGTGGCCGGGGACGCGGCCAGCCTGAGCTCGCACCTGTCCGCCGCTGGGTGACACAATGCGCTCGCCGCGTTCCTCAGGTTAAAATAACAGCCCCTCTAGCCATTGAGCTATTGACACATCACCCTCCCCCAGTGCAATATTGGAAAGCGTTGTCGGTTTTACAGTACATTACTCAAAATAACTCGTGGAGATGCAACAAAGGAATTTATTAATCAACTAATGAGTTTGTGGGGGAAATAAACGAATGCACTTAATAATTTTTCCAAATTCTTTTGACTTGGTTTCTCCTATTTTTGGAATATTTAAGCTCCTTATGTAGTTTATATTAAACGCGAGCGATTTTGTTTCCACAACGAAGATACTGCGATGGACCATGATGTTCAGCGGGCAACCAATTTGGTTGAAAAGAAGGTGGAGCAAGAGGAGAAAAACGAGGTACTTTTTTAAACCGGGAACGCAACTACAACGCAAATACATCACTTTCATTTCAAAATAGGTTTATTAAAATAAGTTACATAGTTAAATTTAGGTAGTTGCATGTTTGTTTATAGTTTGTTATTCAAGGAAAGCACCGACAAACACGACTGTCTTTTAGTATTTGTTTTCCTAGTTTTGTTTCGGTATTTATCGTGTTTCAAGCAGGATTGTGCTGATAATGACGACTGGTTAACTCTGTAATGTTTAACGTTACTTGCACTGAGTCTTATCAGGGTACGGGTGAATCTGTGAAACATCCGACGTTGTTCTCTGTCAATCATTAGTCGCGTGTGGGACAAAAGGCAATTTTGAACGAGGTTTACAGTACAGGGGACTTTGAGAGCAGTGAAAAGTTGTTTAAAACATATCCTTATTACTGTATACAGTATATTATGATGTTAAGATAGAATGTACAAGTTACACATAAACTTGGGCTGTTAAACTCCCAGTTTACACTGTTAACAAGGTACATTTACGGACCTGTATGGTGTTCTGCGTCTTGACTTTGTTGTAATTAAATTGATCGCATTGAATGTGTGTTTTTATTGGAATAAATAGAAATGTTACAATTTAAATAAACCTAAACAAAAAGGATGCCATGTTTTGGATGCTCAACATGTTCCAGTCAAAACAGTCATGGATAAGCAGATATGGCACAACTCCAGTGATATCTATACAAGAAACAGAGAACACGCTTCCTTTGGGGCCCTGCTGAAAGATGGCTCGTGGACTGGAAAGTAAGATGAGGCGCTATCTATGGCTTAAGTTATGTCGCTTTTTCTAAACAACCAGAAGAAAGGTTACGAACAAGGGCCCATCTCTAGCTCACTTGATAGAAGCAAGAATACAGTAACTGATTTTTAAAAATCAATCAGCCGTCTTTGAAAGAAGCTTGAGTATCTGCTTCAGCAATGTGGCTGGACAGCTTGTTCTTTAGCTCTATGACCCTTTACATGAAGAAGAGCCTCCTTGGAGTTTACTTACCATTTGTACCCCCTGGCTTGTATCTCACAGTTGGTTCTGAACATATGCACTGGCTTGACCCTGTGATGCCCTTTAGATGCCTTTAAAGTTCTTGAATACTCAATTCATTATCCACATGCATCCATCCATCCGGTTTCTTACCACTTCATCCAATTCAGGGTCACAGAAGAGCCCGAGCCTATCTTGGCAAGCAACAAGCACAAGGCAGGATACACCTTGGACAAGATGCCAGTCTTTTACAGACACATTGACACACTCACACCAGAAGTCAATTTACCTGCCAGAATAACTTTGGACTGTGGGAGGAAACCCATGCAAACACTGTGAGATCATGCAAACTCCACACAGATAGCAGCCCAGGAATTGAACCCAGAGCCCCAGCACTGTGAGACTGGAATGCACCACTGCCTCCCCTATCCACATGCAGTCTTTTGTATTCAAGGCTATCAATATTTGTTTTTTTAAGAGCTCAATGTAGGATGTTTTCTAAGCCCTGGAATGATTTTAGCAATTTTCTTAGAACCAATTCGGGAGCAGCACATCTCTTTGGTAATGTTCTTTTTTAGTGACCAAGAAGTAGTCTAAATGAGGTTTTACAAGTGCATTATATCGTTTCAACATTCCTCCGTTTTTAAATTAAAAAATTCTATCTTTACATCAACATATGCTACTATTCTGTTTTCATTTTGTGTTGCTTCTCCATACTTCTCTAGAGGAAAATAGTGTTAAGTCAACATAAACACTATTTCATTGTCATAGTTTCCCATCCAACATCTCCGGTGTGTTTTTTTTCTACCTGTATGTAGACTCGCCACTTAAATATGATCTCTATGGAATTTTTCCTAAAACGTTTTGTATATTTTTTTCTGTTTGTTCAACTTCCTATTTTGTTATAATTTACAAATGTGATTAGCTGATTATCATTATGCTAGAATCTGTCATATGTTGAAGAGCAGAGATCCTAAGGCTTATACCCTATGGTACTCCAGTAAGTACACCATCCTTATCTGTCCTCTTGTTTTCTTCACATCAATCATTTTTCAATATAAATACATTCATTACCTCAGAGGCCCTCAACATAAGAATCCATCTTTTATATGGAACGTTATAAAAAGCCTTCTGAAAATCTTGCCATATTTGCAACTTCATCTGTTGCTTATTCAAAAAACTATAACAAGAAGTTAGTTAAACAAAACGTGCCTTTTCTAAATTCTTGTTTAACTTTCCCCTAGAATCCCAATGGCAGACAGATAATCTTCTGGTTTAGCCCTAATTATCATACCTACACCCTTACATGTAATAGTAATATACTTCCATCCATTTATAACTACTTATTCCAGTTCAGGGCTGCGGGGGAACTAGAGGCTCTCTCTTCAAGCAACGGGCACAAGGCAGGGTACACCCTGAACAGGGTGCCAGTCCATCACAGGGCACACATACATGTTCACACCAGGGCCAGATTTCTCGGAAGCCAGTTAACCTACACTAGCATGTCTTTGGACTGTGGCAGGAAAACAACTTGAACACGGGGCAGGCGTCCAAACTCCACACAGATACGTAGAACCCCAGCTCCAGAACTCCAGGACCCTGGCGCTGTGAGGCAGCAATGCAAATCACTGTGCCACCCCACCACCCATAATAGTGATATACAGTATTAGTCTACAATTATGTAGTTTGGCTGTGTCACCAACAGGACATTTGTATTCCAAAGTGTCTTCCAGTCTTAATACAGACTTTATCTCATAAACCTTTAGGACAGATTTTATTACATAAAAAAACTTTTAATTGGGGGGCACTTCCCTGAGATGTATCTCTATCCTTGGAGCTTCCCTTAGAAATGGGAAACCTCTAAGAAATACTAGGTTACAGCTGCATATAGAGTTGGTGAACCAGTAGGAGATCTTCTCTCTGGATCTGAATTTCCAAACTTGCACACTCTGCGTATCTGATGTGCCATAAGCCTAAAACATTTGGACCTATGTCTGCACTGTACTGTATGCATTTCAAAGAATGTGGCAAAACTGCACTCTGAAATTAACTCCTAAACAAAACATTAAATTTCATTTTGGCAGAAGAATGGTTTAACAGCAAAGAGATGAAGCCCTTCCAGGTCTGGGGAATTCAGTTGGACCCTTTGCAGGGATAGATGTAGGACAGATATTACTGACAATGTTTTCCTGTTCTTTTTCAGAAAGTCAGGGGGCAATTATGGAAGCAGGGGCTCATGAAAATGGATACACAGGAACTGAAGAATGAGAAGATGAACGTGTCAAAACCTAACGAGATCACAAAAATCCAGGTGAAGGTTTAAAACTGTGATTGTCAGTCTCAGCAAGTCCTAATTCTGGCACATGTTTAAGTTTTAAAACCCACTCATACCACCTAATACCGTTACTGTTACAGTATTTTAGTATTTCAGAGATGATATGCAGAGGTGTTCTGTAATGTAACAGGGAGATTCCAGGTCTTAGTGGATTTGCTATGGGCTTTCATAGGAGCTGTGGGCAGAGTTCAGGTGGAGGTGCCCAGGGATATTAGCCAGGGAGGGGTTTAGTTGCGAAGACAGTTAATCCTAGATCGTTAGGTAGTCATGAGTGTAACAATGTGGTGGTCTGGTGTTAATGTCTTTGTCCGTCTCTCACTGAGACTCGAGTGGGATCCCAGGAACACCACACTCCACTCAAGATATGTAACAAGTCAAAGAGCGGAGATTATTATTATTATTAAATGTGTTTCTTTTCTTCTTTTTTTAGCACATAATAAACCTTTACTTGTTCCTTTATTAGTGTCTATTTTGATTTAACAATGCCTGAATTTGGTTTACTATGAGAGGTTATATAAAGCCTTAAGGGCGCTTTGAATGTTATTCCCCTGCAAAATGTGGATTGTCTAGAGCTTCAGAGGTAGTGGATGGGTACTTGTGATCGAGCAGTCTGGTTTTCCTTCAGGCTCAGGAGCGTGTGAGGAAGACCTCGTCAGACCTGCGCAGAGAAATCATC